TCAGTTCGTGCTTCGTCCGTGCATGCTGCATGTCTGACGCATCTCAGCAACCGCAAGTTGCCCTGCGTAACAAAGATACGTGAAATGAAGCAAGCAGGTGTGGCGGTGACGTAAAGTCGACATTACGTGCCTCGGCTGGGTTACCGCATGGCCCGGGAAGCTCTTGGGTTCTCTGTCTTCAGGAGAACGCTGGGAACCCAGAAAGTTATGACCTGGGTCCCATTGCCTTATTCTGCTGTACTCGTTTGCATCTGCGATTAACTCGCACACGTGAACATGTGTCACGAGCTGACTGGTCACGAATCACGAACTTGCACGTGCTTGATTGTCTACACGTTCCTTCCGAACAGCCCGAAACGCCTTGCCAGCTGAGCACAATGAATTGTCGTAGCAGTGTGCGGATCATGGGTTGAGAAACTGTGCTCATAATCTGTAAGCCTGTTCACGTACGTCCGCATAAAATGGTACTGACTTACTTCTTGATCCTCTTAACAGCTTGGCGCCCTTTACCACACATACCACTATTCACTGTTAATTGCATTTTGCGTTAATTTCACCCCCTCATTTTCAGTTCTCGTAAATCATTTTCTACATCTTCTTACAATCTCATTCTGGGCCTTCTAGCTAACTCTGACTCCATTGAGCTGAGTCCTTACTGAGAAGCCGCCAGTCGCTCAGCTACTCAAGAATTTCTCAACATTTTATGGAACTCGAAGGTTCATTACCGCGTTCACAAGAGCCCTCCACTGGTCCATATCCTGAGCCAGATCAATCCAGTCCATATCATCCCATCCATTTTAATATTATCTCCCTTTCTTATACAGCCTAGCTTATATTAACACAAATTTCTTATCCGCCTCTGTCTGATCCATTCTAATCACTTGCTGCAACACTCCAAGCTTCCCTCAATATCGGCAAGCCCTCATTATTAATTATCACTCCTGCAGAAGTATGAATCGGCTTCCTGCAAATCCGAGGTATTGGAGAAGTTGCCGATCTGTCACGGCTGACGCTAATAAAACCTTTCTGCGTATGCGCAAGGACTAGTAGCTAAATGTAATGATTAGGCTGGGGCCACACGAGCGCACAAAATGCGTCCGTTGTAACGACCGTCGTGACGTCCGTTGTAGAAATAAACAAGAGAGGCGAATGCTACGCTTTCTTCTGGCTCCATTGCAGACAAAAAACTACGCACCGCATTCTACAACTGTGTGGTGTCCTCAGCAACGTCCGTCATAAAGTACGTTCGTCGCAACGGACGTACATCGTGCGCTCGTGTGGCCCCAGCCTTAACATGAAGTTCTAATTGGCTACTTTCTTTTGATACGACAAGGACGGCATGGAAAACGACGTGTACGACAACGGCCGTCTCTTCTTGCTCCACTATTCCGGCTTTCAGAAGTTCGGAGGAGATAGACAGACAGCAAGGTGATCTCTTAAGCCACCCTCTCTTTTTTCAAAATAAGGAGAGTAGGCTAAAAACTGACTATCATTGTGAATACAGTATACAGGAAGGAAAATTTAATCCTGGGCTTAATTAATTAGGCAACACGCAGTGAATACGTATGGTGGAGTGGAGGTAATCGACAACATTCTTGACGTTGGCACTATATGGAGGTGAGTGGTCAGCTTCACGCTCATGCCGCTTTACTCGCCGGGGAAAGAGCCCTCGGTAACAATTTGATAGGAGGCTGGGTGGGCCACAGTCCGAACGCTGTGAAGTAGAGAGAAATCACTTGTCCCTGCCGGGAATCGAACCCCGGCTATCCAGCCCGTAGCCCGTCGCTATACCGACTGAGGCAGCCCGGCTGCGCAGTATTACGTGTCGCAAATTAAGAGGTATGCATTCATAGTGCTACAGTATGCAGTAACAGCTCAGACCATTATGGACAAAACTTTGTTTTTCATTCGTGGTGTAGGGTGAGGCGGAGTTCACTTGGTCCGTCGGTCGCTAGTGGGCCCCACTGTATCATCCCCGAGTGTGGATGATGATGATGATAGATGAGCGTGGAACTGCTTGTGGAATGAGAGCTGGCAGGGGAAACCGAAGTACAATAAAACATCGCTATCCCGGATACAATTTGGGGGGGGGGGAAGGCCTTCCGGGTTAATGAAGCAAAAGATAGTTCTAAAAGAAAAACTTAGAAAATAAATAAATGGAAAATTTAATAATATAGGTAGTCCTGAAAAAACGTAAAAATATCACTGCAGCAATTTCTTCCTCTGTCAGAAGCTGAAATCCAGTGTCTCCTTCATCCAGTTGAAGCCAATCTTGGATATTAGCTTGCGTGGTTTAAGTCTCTCCAGCTGCCCCTAACACAGTCTCAAATCCCTCTTGCTCCTAAACCCCACGTGTCTTTTTAAAGTATGTACTCAGCTGTGAATAGCTGTCCGGATTATCCGACATAAATATTAACTGTAACCGGATTAGCGAGGGTTCACTGTACTCATTAGCATAGTAACTTCACTTCTTCCCAAAACAGCTACGCTACGAGAAGTTTAGCATTTAAATAAAAAAATGTCTGAGGTGTGAAGCCTGGGGATCTCACAGCAATGACTGTGATGACTGTAACGACGCGTATTATGGAGAAGGTTTTGAACTTTCGGAGAAACGTAATGGCTCCATCTTCACGGTGAAGGTGGGGCCGAGCAAGCAACGGACAAGCAGTAAGCTCCTCCGAAAAGTCGGTTCAATTCTATCAGACTATATGGCGTCATACCTCAGGGGATGGTGTTCTTCAAATGCCTCAGAGTTATCACAAAACTTCTGGACAGGTAAGCATCATCAGCTTTCGTTGTTCTGTGCCTTAGCTGTTTCCCAAACGTGGACGTAGATAAACGTAAACGTCCTGCAGCCGACAGAGTATGCCACTGGAGTAGAGGTTACAGAATTCTTTAATAAATAACGAAGCAACTTAACTTTCTCCTGATTCCTTACTTAACAACAAGTTCGCTTCTATGAGTTTAATGTCAATTGCCGAAGTCTCTCTGTGGGCCAAAAAATCAGGGAAAACAGCTAAAGCAAAGATAAAGTTGTCCCTATGTTTAATTAATTAAGCACTGCGCATAGAAGACATGTTGGGAATTGGAGGTATAACTCCACCATTCTTGACCTCGGCACTAGATGAACGTGAGTGGTCAGCTTGACGACAAGGCTGCTTTATGCCCAGGGAGTGAGCCCCCGGTACCCATTGTGTAAGAGGCTGGGTGGGCCGCAGAGTTGGTCTGGACGACATGGAGAAGAGAAAAATCGTGCCCCTGCCGGGAATCGAACACTGGGCGTCCAGTCTGTAGCCCGTCACTATACCGACTGAGCTATCCCGGAGGCTCATAGAGAGAATTTGATAAAATTAAAGCTGCTTTTGATTATGCACATTCATGAGAGTAACCAAGCAGATTAGCTCAGTGCACCTGACGCATGTTTGGCTTGTATTCGGGACGTAACCGGTAGGAATCACGGTTTGGAGGTTTGTTATCCCAACTAAGACTTCTGCTGGTCAGCTTGAGTCCCTCCAGACGAATATGGGCAACCTAAGTGTGATTAATTAATTTGAAAACATTTCGTTTCATTTATTCACCTTTCAGTCACTTCGGTGATATAGGACAACAAGAATGTAACATACCAGGAGAGATACAAAGGTTGAAGACTACACGTATGATTGGAACATAAAAACAATAAAAACTACAACTACGAAGCACCGTAATATCAAACAAATATTTTAAATCACTATGAAGGATTTGATGATTTCACACCGGTGGTTATGAAGAGTTTTGTCTTCTGGGATACAACGTCGTGTAGTCAGCTGATAATCAACCGACGTTTCGGAGGAAAATGTCGCCTCCACCTTAGAAGCCAAGCAAGAAACCAGCGTGAAGCAGGTAACAAGCAGAGCTCTCATGCTTGGCTTATTCTTCGACAAATCAAGATCGAAACGAAAAACACAACAAACAAACAAACAACCTAACTATCTGTAAATGGGCAACCACTCTCAGCAAAATTATCGCTGATAAAGTCCTCAACTGAGTAATAGCATGCTTGAGCGTTATTTAAAAAAATAACTTTGTTTGATCTGTTTAGTATTGGTTCCGTATTCTTTCACACCGTCTTCATGCATGTTTCTAGGGTAGCTGACGCAGCGTCATCTGTGAATGTAAGTCATTAACTAACCGTCGTAATGCAGCTATGTGCAACTGCGTTTTAAAATAACGCGAATATTAGGACGAGTTCACAGAATCAGTTATTAGCCAACGTGATCCAGTCTGGAGAAAGAAATTGGCGAGTTATATGCACGATCACAATTTAAAGCAGGAAACAATAGAATTTCCTACTTTTCTTTGCAGCCTTTATTTTAAAGAATAAAAAACACTATTTCTTCTCATAAAAAAAAATTCCGGTACCGGGAATCGAACCCGAGCCTCCTGGGTGAAAGCCAGGTATCCTAGCCACTAGACCATACCGGAGAGCGCTTTATTTTGTCATTTTCGATATATATAATGCACTATCCAAATACGGGAGTTGCGAATGTTAGATTATTTCATGATATGAATGTGAACTGAAACATTACAGGTTCATAAATAATTATTTATGAACCTGTAATGATTAGTGATTAGTGATTATTAGTGATTATAATCACTAATAGCCGTCGAACTAATGAAACTAATCAAAATTGATGGATTTCTCTGTTGAAATAATAATGGAAACTACACGACGTTACAACCCAGAAGATCTTACACTTCAACGAATTAAAATGATTCTATATAAGATAACTAGGACGTTACGGTTTATCGTGGGGGAGTGCTCAGATGCATTTCCTAGCCCCATGATCTGTACGAGATAGAGGAACGAAGGGCCCTGTGATGGTCTCGCCATTTCCTAGAGACCCTTGGTGGAGAGTAGTGTGAGTGAGTGAGAGGGAATGAGACGTGGGGAAGGCAAATGTAATGGTGGGGATACTACACGCTCCAGCAGTGGAGGGATGGCAGCCTGTCGTGCCAGCAGCAGAGGGGCGCAACAATACGAGTTGGAGGGAAAAGCAGTTGAAGGCGGAGGTGCTGGTTTGTGTGGCGAGGGGAAGTCAATTCTGTGCAGTGCAGGACTCAGATTACTAGCTGGTAGTACAATTCCAGTACTTGTGTCTTGTCTTGCTTCGGGCCAAATAACAAGGGCAAAAACCATCGGCGCGCCGAGGTTCAGGGTACTGACGAACATCGTGGAGGAAGAAGAGGGAGAAGCAGGTAAAAGGAGGAGTGAGGGAAACAAGAAGAGGGATTTAAAACAGGCAAATGCTGCCTCAGGCAAGGAAACTGTGAAATAGGCGAAGGAAAGCAACCAAGATGAGTGGGGCTCGTTGCTGTGCTACTAGCAGAACGTGGTAGACTGTCTGCTCGGACGAACAGAATAAAGCAGTTTTTTGGGGTTGAGGAGGGTGTACGTTATAGCCCCCTCCCTACCGCAAGAACCGCCATACTTGGAAAGCACATTTTGTGGTGTTTTGTGTTTAGTAGCGCTGCGCGAACTGAAGAAGTGAAGCGTGTGGTTGTAGGTGAGGCCTGTGTTTATGTGTCCAGGAGTGTAAGTGCTACGTAAGCCCCAATATGTATAAACTGTTAGGAGGCCTCAAGGACTACCTCAAATGGCAGGACATAGTGACAGACAACGCAGTGTTCAGGCTTCACAACTTGTTCACCACAGTGTTACTGCTCACGTGTTCTCTTATCATAACTGCCACGCAGTATGTCGGCAACCCCATACAGTGCATTGTCGGCAAAGGGCTTCCTACCCATGCGATCAATACGTACTGTTGGATCACGTCCACTTTCACGATGCCCGACGCCTACCTCAGGGAAGTAGGCAGTCAGGTTGCACATCCAGGCATTGACAATGATTATGGTGAGGAAGATCACAAAAAATATTACACGTACTACCAGTGGGTGTGTTTTGTGTTGTTCTTCCAAGCACTTCTGTGTTATTTGCCGAAGTATATTTGGGACACGCTGGAGGGCGGGCTCATGAGATCCATCGTCATGGGACTGAACATCGGGATATGTCGCGAGGAGGACAAATGCAACAAGAAGAAGGTTCTCCTAGATTACCTTCTGCGTCACGTACGGGTAAGAACCGGAACCGGAAATGATACTGTTACGCTAACTTCCTTATCCCCGCTTCCCTCCATGTTCACAGTAGAGTATGAACTAGTCTCATGTGATCCGTAGTCACAGTTGCCGAACCCATCGCCTATGTCCAGTAAGCTTACCAGAACATCCAAAAGGAGTAAACCACACCGAAACCAATTTTAGTGCTTCTACAAACTTGCATACATTTGCCCCATTGTGATTAACCTTCTGTAGTTGATCTTTGTACATAATATCTCCAGCGCCAATGTTCGCAGCTGCCTTAATGACCTCATTCTCGGTTGAGTGACCTCCAGTGGCTTTAATGTGACACAATTGACTTGCGAAGTGTTTCATATTAAGTGGAACGTATATGTGCAGTTCTTCAAGCTGTAGTGGTTGAGGCACTATGCTGCAAGTCGGAAGGTCGCGGGTTCTAATCCCGATGAGGTCATTGCCTTCTTCAATTGACCTAATCCTCCTAGCCGCACTATGGCCCTGGAGTCGACTCAGCCTCTAACAGAAATAAGTACCAGGAATCTTCCTGAGGGTAAAGGGCGGCCGGCTCGTAAGGTTGGCAACATCGCCGCCATCTGTAAGTCTGTTTAGAAGATGTGGGAGGCTCGACGTTTCACAACCCTGTGCCCCTCCACGGCCTATTACAGAGATAGTTTTACCGTTTTATCTATACCATAGTTTTGATGACGTAGACAGTTGGGTAGTAGTTTTCCATCACCCACTCCGCCCACCCCTCCTTTGAAAAGCTGTCATTCACAGGCTTAAAGCAATAGAAAATAATTTATGTACGGCTGCGCAAGAAACTTATGTTTGGATCTTATTTCTTTACGATCTACTGTATGCTATATAAGAGTTCTTCATGAGAACTTAATTGTTGTTCAGGTAGTTGAAGAAATTCCAAGCATTTTATGAAATCTAAAGAGCCACTGTTGTGCCCAAAAGTGCTCTCACACCGTTTCTCATCCCGTGGCCGACAAATCCAGCCCACACCATTATGACCCGTATTTCTAAGATCTATTTTAATATTATGTCGCGTCTGTGGCCGTCTCCTAAGCTTCGTGCCCTAATTTAACATAAAGATTTAACCTTTAGACATCTGACGACGCGATCTGCTGCCCATGGCTTCCACCACAGGATATGCAGTGTGCAAAATCACCACGTTACAGGAGAGCAGTGTGTATGCAAATTGTGTGGAAACAAGTGTGAACGGTACCTTGTGCTAGCGTGTGAGAGTACCGATTTTTAAGCGCTGAAATAGTGTGTGGAGTAATTCACGTATATTTCGAACAGTAGAACAGGGTCTGTTTGCGATCCCAAGGGACACGCAACTCCACAATACACAATTAGCAAGACAGTTTCACATTATGCTGCGTGCGAGTTATGCATTGCCTTATCCCAGCCGTGCTTGCGTGTGTCACGTCACCAATAAAACATTTCAGGGCCGCGTCTTGAACAGGAAACGGAGTCGGAGGTTCGTATCTCCCCGTCAGAAATGTCTGTGGGTGACAGCAGTTCGTTTGGCCGGTTCGACAAGGCTGGGTTCTTCATGTTCGTGAATTTTTACTGAAATTCGAAGCAAAACAAATATTTTACGTAAAGATGGGAAGCAAATATTCAGATTGATTTTTAAGAATTAGGCCGTGAACTGAATTCATCTGGCTCATGAGAGGCACCAATGTCGGTATACAGTTAAGAACACGTTAATGAACCTTCGGGTTCCGTTAAAGGCGACCATATTCTTGTCTACGTGAAGGGCCTCTGTGAGCCGGGATAGCGTTACGTTATAACGACTGGCTCCGAGCTGGACGAAGGTGTCGGAGTTCGAGTCTCAGTAGGGTCAGAATTTTCTCTTCTCCATATCGTCCAGACCGGCTTTGGGGCCCACCCAGCCTCAGCCCTTTCCCCGGGGGTAAATTGGCAGGGGCGTGAAGCTGACCACTCGCCTTCAGCTAGTGCCGAGGTCAAGAAAATGTTGATCTATACACCAGCTCCCCCATACGCCTTAAAGGCGTAGTGCTTAATTTGTTAAGCAGAGGGACAACTTTACTGTTTATGTGAAGGACCCAGCTCCGTGAAGTTAGTCGCAGTTTAAAATATAGATCGATTAATTTCTGTAATCCTGTTTTGAACAGCACTGGAGGTTACGAAACGAATGAGGAGGCGGAGTGCGTCCGCGTGGAGAAAGAAATGGAATTTTCTGTGTAGGGAGACATTTCGTGTTGCCTTTTTTAAAAATAATTTTCAGCGTATTATGTTCGTACAAAATTAGCCGTTACGTCAGAGTAAGAAAATAAAGCGGGCAAAAATCTTAACAAAAGGAAACAGACAATTGACAGTTTCAACATACATCGGCTTTTACTTCATCTAATAAAAAAAAAGAACACAGTGGAACGAAGCAAAGTAATCTGTTTGAAGACCTTCACGCATTATTGACGTTGGTCCTAGATGGATGTGAGTGGTCAGCTTCACGTTCCGGCCGCTTTACCCCCAGGATATATCCGCTTGCACCTGTTGAATAACAGGCTGGAGACTTTGGAGACAAATCTCTTCTCCCTGGTTGGAATAAAGCCCCGATTCTGCGGTCATCCAGCCTGTAGCCAAGTCGCTGTACTAGTAGAGTTCTGTCCCAGGGAGTGAGGCGGTTGGAGCTAGAAGCTGACTGCTCGCCTAGTCTGATCTGCGTGCAGGACAAGTGTGGGAGCGTCATCATGATATGATGATATATATATCCTTCCATCGTCACTGAATTCTGTTTTCATCATAGGATGCGAACAGAAGTCGCCACACCGGACATCTTTTTGACCACAAGGAACTGTCTTTCCCACGTGGCGTGACGTACCCCAGAGGTGTTTCAGGCAAATGTTCCGAGACTGAGCATGCGCAGAGCTTTACTCCACTCCCGCGAAGATTTAACATAGGAACTGCAAGGAACAGTTTGTTAACACCGACACTAGAGACGTACTTCTAGGTTTTGGGAGGTTCAGAACAAAAACTTCTCCATTCTGCGTGACTCTCTTTCTAGAATTTTGAAGGTCTGCCGTTTCTGCAAGCCTTGCAGCTGCCATATTCAGGGTTAATTTGTGGGGACGAGGAGTTAGCAGCTCATGTAACCCTCGAATAGGCAGTGTGTTTTAGCCGTGATTGGCTGAACAGAGGAACGGGATGCTAACCAATAGGAAGCGACCGTGTAGTTATGTGTCTCTCGTATAAGGTCAAGGGAACACATGAGAGCGGGAAGGGGGGATTTATCATAATGCGACGTGGTCGTGAATGACGTAAGAGATAGGAATCTTGATGCAAGAGGCTAGAAACTCCGTTTTCGTCAGAATCCTGAGCCCAGCCTTTGTATATTTGTCGGAAATAACACGCCTGACCACGTGAGCCATGGAACGGGTGCAATAACGGCAACAAATGGAAGTTACGCTGATGACGAGATCAGGAGAAAAATGAGATATGTGCCTGCATTCTGTCAAGGCGACTCTTATTACTGTCAAAGATGTTGGTTAGTAACCAACTGTTACATATGGGCTGGTTGTTGGTTTCTTAGAGGGTAACTTTTCTTCATGTGGATCATAAAGGGTTCTGACGATGGCGTATAACTGTCGGAACTGTTTGTTTTTTTGGACTTCGTCCATCGTCCGGTATTCTAGAAACACTGGAGAACACAACGCTTCGGAAGCTGGATCTGTTTCCTTCCTCAGATAAGGGGGAGAGACCACAGTCGCTAGAGGTTAGCTGTTGCTAAGGCCCCCCATACACACAGTTTGGCCTCCAGTTCGGCCTGCACAGTTGAAGACTGAAAGGCAAAACTGATGTGTGTGGTGCGGCCGGCCGGCCAATCGTTTGGACTGTTGGCCTGTGGGAAACCCGTCAGTCTGTCAGTTCTGCCTGCAGGACCGTAGCACGTGACGTGTGTGACTCAACATTATAGGCTGGAAGACCGTGATTGTGGCATGAAGCCTGCCGCTTTATCTGCGCGTGTATGGGGAGGAAAGGGAGGGGGTAAACTGTCACAGTTTTGTCTCTAAGGTCGATCGGAAGGCCAAACTGTGTGTATGGGGGGCCTAAGGGACCCAACAAAGTGGATATCTCCCCCTTCACCTGAAGACGGAGACAGATCCAATTTCCGAAACGTTGCGTTCTCTAGTGTTTTTAGAATACCGGACAATGGCGAAGTCCAAACACCAAGTAATTCCGGGTTCTTTTTCTTCTTCCTATGGCGGGTTAGTCCGTGTGGCCTGTTCCAGTTCAGAATCAGTCTGAAACTATGAATCTTAAACGCAGTCGCTAGGGCTTCTGGTAGGGGGGGGGGAAGTTTTGAACTAATTTACTGAGGTGCCACTTGTAGGCACAGGAAGAATTCCAAATTTAAATGGACGTGGAACTAAGTCAGCAGTTCTACCTCTGTTTATGCTGTGTCATGATGAGAGAGACCTCTGGACAGAGTTAACTGAAGTCTCTATACTCTACTAGCGTACACACTTTTCTTTGGCTTAAATATTACCATCGTATTCTTACCTCCCTCTACGAAGATGAGTTCATGAGAAGCTGACAGTTCATCAGCTTGTCAAGAAATTCGTCAGCTTTTACAGAACCCAAAGATCCGATCCTTTACCGTGATCCCAAGAGCACGCCGCTGGGCCGTATCTTCAGCGAAATCTACAGCCATTCTCTTAGATAAATGTGTACATGTCTCGACTCGTTATTCGCTTCGTCTCTGCACAAAAATAGTGCCACTGTGTGTGTGTCATAGTCGCGCCGAAACAGTCTCGTGAAGTCTAATTTCGCACACTTGAGGGGCAAGAATTTACATGTGTCACCGAAACCTTCAGATCGAATGGGCTGACCTAGAGCAGGGCTTTCCAAACCGCCTACTGCGTGGATTGTTCTTGCCCGACCACCTGAATAAAGGTAACAGATAAGTTTATCGCTAACCTTAGGCACAACAGATCACTGTGGTCGCGGTGCAGGGGCCAAGAAGG